GTAAACTGTTTTACAATAAAAAAAAAACTTAGAATGGATAAAATTACACAAGATTGCCAAATACCACACAATGTTGGCCCTCTTGCCCAAGAATGCTGAGATCTTGCAAGAGAGTTTTGAAATCTGGTGAGAGTTGGTGGCAAAATGGGTGATCATTTAAAATTTGAAATCAGCAGGGCCATCTGGGGAAACTTGCGGATCCCGGCTTTCTCTGCTTTATAGGCTCACACGCAGCCTTTAGTCCCAGGGAGGTGCATGGGACGTCTCACTGATCCTTATGCAATGTGTTCACGCTGTGAGCACCACGCACAACACCCTTGTTTTCCCCATGGGGAGAAATCTCCAAATCTTTCATTGCATGGCTTCTTTTGCAAATGGTCTATGTAGTCCACCGATTCGGAGGCAAGGTATTATGAGTTCCTCCAACAAATGACTGGGAGGTGACCAGCACTTTCCATGAGCATCCCAACTGCTGAACCAAGTCCATGTTGAACGAAGTCCGCCTACCCCATCACTCACGCAAGGCAGCCATTTCAGGAGATGACCACCCTGTATGAAATCAGATCAAGGCTGCAGGATCTATTTCACCTTGCTTGCCTCCAGTTCTTCTTAGGAAGGGTTTCCCAGTCTTCATTCTGTGTTTAAGTGTTGACATGTCCCCCCTTGGCCCTGTCTGTTCGACAGTCACAACCGATCCGCCCTCGGATGTCCACGTGAGCCGTGTGGGAGACCTTGAGGACCAACTCAGTGTTCGGTGGAGCGCGCCGCCTGCCCTGAAGGATTTTCTCTTCCAAGCCAAATATCAGATCCAGTACCGAGTTGAGGACAGTTCAGAGTGGAAGGTGAGTCTCCTTGATGGGGTGTGCAATTTATTCCGCACCAGGACAACCATCGACTGGAGTAATCAGTGAGGAACTGCAGAGTGGTGGGGCTGAAGCAAGCCACAAAGGGGTTGGGAGACATTCTCCCGCCGTGCCCTTTTTCCGTGGTTTTCTTTCTCTTCTTGACTTTCCATGCTCCATTTGGCACCTCTCATTTCTTTCCCATGCTGCAGGCTTCAGGGAGGGCACAGATGAAGTTTGCAATTCAGGGAGGGGCTACAAGAAGTTGGCACAGGGTTTTTGTTCTCTTTTCTGTGGCACAGCCCACCTAATCATACTGTATATTTGGGGTGGAGTGTTAAAAGTGAAACACTTGCAGTGGCATGCAGTGAAGAGTGGACTTAAAACATAGAAAGCCCTTCTCCCTTTTTATGTTCATCGACATGTTGGACATCAGGGCCAAGTGGGGACAATGTGTTGCACAATAACTGAACACTGAGTTGGTGCCCGAGGTCTCCCACATGGCTCACCGAGGGTGGATCAGTTGTGACTGTCGAACGAACAGGGCCAAGTGTCCCAACCGATCCACCCTCAGATGTCCACGTGAGCCATGTGGGAGATCTCGAGGACCAACTCAGTGTTTGGTTATTGTGCAACACGTTGCATAATACTGGATTTTCAGCACATTGCCAGACAGACCTAAGACCTGATCAAGAAGTCGAGGAAACAGGACTCAGCATAGACCATGCCATGAACTCTTGAGTAGCGATGCCTTGGCCAAGCTGATGAGGCTCCAAGGAGCATTGTGCCAACACCCTGGCACAGGTTACCTGTTAAACAAGTTTTGGAGGAACAAAGGGCATGGCATAGTGGAATACGCCAGGGGCTGGCATATTTTGGGGGCACTGGGGTAAGGCATCATTTTTAAATAGGTGGGGTTGAGTTTGTAATGTTCCCGTTGGGGGTTTATGCTGACACTGCTTTCCTTATTTAATTTTGAAAAGAGCGGGAAGGGTTGGCAGCCACTCATGTTAAGACTTCAGCCATTTTTCTTCTTTTCTGCCTAAGAATGGTGGAAAACCGTGCCGAAAATATGGGGCGGGAAATGAATAAATGTTGTTACTACTGCATAGTCCAAGGGTCTTCGGGGATCGCAAAAAAAAAAAAAAAGTGGTTTGGGGGCAGGGGGTTTCATGGGGGAGTTAAAACAAGTTAAGATGGCAGCCTTAACCATGCAGTTGGAGACCTATGTGTTTTTTATGTGCTATGCCACATGTGAAAAAGGGGAGGGGTTTTGATTTCAAGGTTGAAGGTGCCATCTTGACTTTTTTGACTCCCCCCAAGGATGGTGCCCACATTGGGCCAGTCCTGAACAAAAGGAGCCGGAAAGGAATGGATTAAGAGAGCTGTAAAGGAAAAGGGAATACGAGGGTGGCTTTGAACATGTTTTCCAGGACAGGAAGAGTGGCATGTCTTACAGTGCCTTTCTGAACAAGGTTTCGATTTTTACTTTTGACTGTGATGATGGTAGAAATCAGGTAATTGGGAAGGAATACGTTAAAGCGTAAGTTGGATGTCTCTTCTTTGAAGACCCTCCAACTCAGTGTTTCTCAACCTTGGGAACTTGAAGATGTGTGGACTT